AATTCAAAGATAACGTTAAGTGGTTGCTCACTAAGGTAGCAGAGCAGCTACAGGAGATTATCTTCAGCGGAAACTATTTTAAGTTGGCTACGTAGCTTTACGTCGTAATGCGTCATAGCACTAACCAGAGCACGTTGATTATGTTTAAATATATTAAACGTTGTGTAACTGGTCAAATCGTGGTCACCTACCTGTTACCTCATGCATACTCTATTAGGTAGTCTTATAAGTAATGAATGAATGAATTAATGTACAGTACAAGCGTTCACACTGATTTGCTTACCTAGCTCATAAACATTACGCCCATATATGGTGTACATTTAAGACTGATACGCCGTGTGATGAGTTAGTCCTGTAAAACACACTACTATCATGATCAAAGCAAGAAGAACACGACACACAGGATAAAGTAGCGTCGTTAAAGTCTCTTATTTCTAATTAGATGCATTAAACCGTAAGAAGTAATTCAATATCCATATAGTAGATATGCAAATACTTCAGTTATTGATCATAAAGATGTTGTTGGAGTGGGGAGGAGCTGTATTCGCTAGTACCAGATGATTCAACGTGAGATTAGACTTAATCAAAAACTGTTTCTTAGCCCATTATCAAGTGAACAGTCTATCTGATGATGTCCCTTCATATAATGAAAACAGATGAGTGAAGATAGATGGATTCCCCTGTATTTTGTTATAAGTTAGATGTTATAAGATGGTAATAATGCGTCCTCAGCTGAGCTATTACTACTATATTTCCCTAGGTTTCCAGGTGGAACTTAGCGATTCAACATTAGCTGAGGCATACGTTGCTCTTAATGGTGGGACATAATTACCTTCGTACAGTTTGTGATGTGACAGATTCCCACCTAAGCTGATTATATAGGACAGACATCAATTTTCCTTGAACAATTAATCATGTTATAAGATTACAACTGAAGGTGGGTTATTTAGGTGTAGGCGTTTTCAGCTTCGCATGTTGGAAGAACATATACTTGTCGCATAGTGTGTCTAATAATTGACAACCTTGTTTCCGGGCATTATTTTGATGTGTGGCGTGTGCATACACTGGTCCAGTTCGTGTGACTTTCTTGGCTTGAGGTTCTGGTTAGTGTTAGTATACCTTTTCTGTAGAGGTTTCATTACACATTTGACCAACAGTATTCGATAATGCTCCAATTCTCATTTCTAGTTAACGAACGGTGTAAGTTGGGAATCGTGCCACAAACTGGTGAAATATCTTCAAATCAAGATCATCGGTGAGGTAGCATAAACTTGTAGTGTTAATTTGGCACCCCTTCGTGAGAATGAATGTGCATCCGGAGTTTTTAAAAGTTACATTCGGAAGCTGGGTCGTTTTGGAGAGTTTAGTAGAACGAAGATATTGAAAATCAGTTTCATCGAAATGTTATAAGACGAAATTGTTAAACAGGTGGGATTATAAATTATCGAAGGCTTAGTCCGAATACAACTCAGGGACGGCTAACTCAGATGACTTTTTTCTGTTAAACTGTCAAATTGGCTATTGCCACGTATTGATATGAGGTTGTGTGCGTGACGTAACACATGCCCTTGTGTATAAATAGTCTACTGTGCTTGATCGCCTTGAAGCCGTTTATTTCTGTTTTTATTGATTTTGAAGTATACAAGGATGTATGTGTGTGCATCTACTTTAAATATGCTGAATGAAACTGGATCTTTGTGAAATTTCCAAATAATAATTGAGACTTTGTGTGTGATCGAAGGTGTCCCTCAAGTTAGCTGAATCTCACACGTTTCACACTCAACTATCAGTCTGTTTGTGTACGGTCAAGACACATGATGATCATTTGTGTCTTCAAGGAACAAGAGGTCGATGTCTTCGTTGTGATGCGAGTTTCTATCTTTATCCTCTTTTCATTTAGTCTTCAGCAACGCTCTGATGAAGAGTCCCAAACTAGGCTGACGAAACATCTGTCCAGTACTCCCTGGTTGGTTTTCCAATGGTTCTCTAACTGATGTCAGTTCATGATGAAATCCTCCATGCAATCAAATTAAAAACAATCTGACCTTTACGTTAGTTGGAACAGGCTAAAGACTCAGTAAGTAGTGTGATCAGAGGTCAGATCTAACAGCATTGATGTTCCTATGACAGTCATGAGCGTTACTTCTAGTTGAAGCTTTGGCGTACTAAAGATAACTCAGATTATGATGCCATAGTACATCCACGTTTTTATGTCCTACTAAATACATAGTCTAGTGAACTTCCGATAACTGAACTCCTAGATTAACTATAGTGCTACTTCCAGGATGGCTAAGCGAAGGGCGATTATACGGCATATTCATGTTTTAAGTGTCGCCACATTTATCCGGTGGGCGCTAAAGCGTCTCAACAAATAGGAAAAGATATGACGGTAAGGTTTCATGAAAATTCAATAATATACCTTTACGTTTTGAAGTCGATGCCTCCCCTATAGGACAAATGTGGGGAAAAAAGGGGGAATTTCGTTTGAAAGAGGGATAAATCAATTAAAGGGGAGGATGTGGGGGAAAATGTATTAGAAGGGGCAAATAATGCGAAAAAAGGGCCAATGAGGGGAAACCACGAAAACTTTTACTGATCGCCGAAGGTTACTGATAAATTGTAAGTAGTTCATATTTTCTGCTGAAATTACATTACAAGTGCTACAATTGATGCGTTGTTCTTACATTAACAGTTTCCTGTTGAATCTTTTCACAAATCTAACAAGTAGAACACAGAGGCAAGTACTAACAATTAAAAGTAGGAATGGCAGTAGAAGTAACCCGACAACTTCAGTGTTGCTCGTCATACACTAATCAAGACAGAACCACACGCATACATACATACAAATACATTAAGAATAGTGGCCAATAGGATTAGATTGCAGTCACAATGAGAAATCGACCTGTGACTTGTTATTGTCATTTTGATTGTGATAATATAAGGGGTCAATGTACTTGCTTATAATGTCACAAATGCCTCTGAAAATTAGTTAAATCTCTGAAATAATCGCCTGAGATTTGATAAACCAGACAGTGTGACTCATCTCACTCACTCACCTGCGTGCTTAATAAATTCTGTAATAATGGTCTTTGAACGTAAGCAGCACCGCTTATATACCTCTCTCTAGCCAAACATCATCACGCCCACCCCACACCCCAACACACACACGTTTCCCTCCTCCCTTTGTTTCGTTTGTATTAGTTAGGTTTGCATATATGTGTGACGTGATATGTGACGGTAGTGGTCTGCAAATGAAACATCTATTAACAGCATTTTACAGCATTTTTATTTATGACAAGTATCCTATTTCACCTATGTATGTGTGACATTTCAATTTACACCCCACCCACACACACCTAGTTGGGTTCGTTTTGATTTTTAGCGAAATACAATCTAAATTCTTCGTTACATTTCATTCATTCATCCGTGACAAGTATTACATATGTGTTTTCATCTGTAGTAGTAGTAGTAGTAGTAGTAGTATGTACCCGAAATTTTGATCTAATATCTTTTCTAATTTGTTTTCAGTAATCGGCTTGTCATCAGCATCAGGCTTAGTGAAATTTTATCACCATCAAATATTGCTAAACGTCGTAAATTGTGACAAGTATAATCTACAGATAGTAGTGCGTAGTGCATAGTGCATTGACAGTGAGTGGTGAGTGCCTTAATCATGTATATCTGTCTGATATGTCTGATATAATTCTCATAAATTGTTTTTGGTTTTACATTTTTGACCTCATCTTAACTAGTGAGTTATTGTCATTAAATTTCGTAACATTTCACTGACGAGATATATTTTATTCCTCAGTAGTAGAATGAATACACTACATTACACTACACTACACTACACTATATTACAAACATCATCCCCACCACCCTCTATTTCGTTTGTAAATTTATTTTTAGCTTTGTTGACCTCGATCATGTCAACTGAACTGAATTGAACTGTAATCATACTTATTAGGGAGAAGGCTAGATAAGGTGATGATGATGATTACGTTACCAAAGTGATAATAATTGAGTTATCACGACCCTCTATGTCTGTCACACTTATTTATCATCCCTTCTTTCCTCCCTCCCTCCCTACCTACCTACCAGTTTAAGTGTGAGGGGTGGGTTCATTTATATTTTCCTAGTACTGCTATTAGTGGTAGTAATCTTATTTATTATTATTATTGTTCCCTTGGGTTCCTAGTGGAACATTGGGCTTCAACTGTACGTCTCCACTTGCTTCTATCTTCTGAGTGCTCTACACCTACATCCATGTTAGTTCATACTGTTTCAACTCCTCTTCACACGATCTCCTCCATGTCACCCTTGTACCGACGTCCCACTCGCCGCTTCCCTTTCCGGTTCCACTCCAGGATCTGACGCGCGATGTCTCCCAGCAGCCTCCTCAGCGAGTGTCCAATCCATCTCCACTTTCTCCTGCACATTTGTTGGGCGATTGGTTCTTGTTTTGTTTGTTCCCATAGTTTCTTGTTGGTGATTCTTTTCGGCCATCTGATCTTCAGTATAAAGCGAAGACAGTTGTTGATAAAGGTCTGCAACAGGCTGTTAGAAATATTCTTTGTGACGCGCCAAGTTTCTGATCCGTATAGAAGAACTGACTTGACGTTTGTATCAAGTCTTGTTTACCACTCACTATCACACAACTCAGTGACAAACATCCGCCGTGATAACGATAAAATAGTAGAATTATACTGAGAAGTATATCATTTATTCCTGGTTTCGTCTCTAATATACCGGATTTCTTGAATTCCTGCACTGTAGTAGGCGCCATGGCGGTATAAATGTTGTTCTTAAAGCAATCTGATGCCTAATGTTCAATCTTCCATACCTTTGATCCAGTTAGTTGTAGATACCTAATAAATTTCACAAAATTTGTTTTAAGTAACTAAAAATAATATTAACAAGAATATTTACTTATATAAACAGTTAAATTTGTACAATCAATAAATTTATTCAATTAAGCTGCTTTACAGAAGTCTTATAAGTCACTTGGACCAAAACCAATACAATCCTGGTATCTCATTATTCAACTCGATACATGTGTCAGTAAACCATGCAACTGGATCGAAAGTGATTTCTCTTGGTTCTGACAACTCAGAGAGATGTTGTCCGCATTTCGCTACTCTGTGGAAAAAAACACATCTAATTCCATGTAGACAGTGACACTGTGGCATGTCGAATACACTGCCATCAACTGTCACTTCTTCTAATCTGATATCAAAGCAGCAGTCGTGTTCAACTGTGAAGGTATTACGTGTGGTAATTGATTTATCTGATGCAACCTTTTCGACATATTTTAAACATGAAACGGAATTACTGAAATTATCGAATCTGACTTGACCAGAAAGTATTTTAGACAGGCACACTGTCAGTCGGTTGAAATAACCCATAGGTCTTCCCAGAGGAAACCATATTTCTTGCACGAATTCTTCCTTGTTGTTGCTGTCGTCGTCGTCAGCTTTGCATTCTGAATTAAGAGATTGCAATGAACAAGTGGATGACACTTTCAATGACTGATTGTTAAAGAACAGGCAAGGATATACAACAAATGGTTTCATTTCATTGGGTTGTAATTTCTCTAGATCACAGTTAATTGTACACTTCTCATTGATAATAAAGCCAGCCTCTAATAATTCTGTTAGCAGTAATACCTTCTGAGTTGCAACATTCAGTGGACTTATTGAACTGATTGATAATTCAAAATTATCTATTTGACTTCCGACTGGTTTTAACTCTCCTTTTGCAGATTTTGACATATTTCTCGATATTATTCTTGTTGGCACTGTGTGGTGGGATGAAGGCACTTCTAGATGGTGACTTCGTTTACTTGTAGTCATATGTCGATGTTGAAGTGATCGGTGTTGCTGCTGATTTTTATTCATCATTTGGTTGTTGGGATGACTTGTCCGGTGGAAGGCGAACGGTGGCAGTAGACATCGTATCATCTGATATGGGAAAGATTTATGATGCTTCCATGTACTGAAGTAATCTGTTAAACTTTCATCTGTATACCCGGTCAGTGCACGTAAATACCATCTATGATGCTGACAATTTTCTTTGCTGTCATTCACATCGTCGTCAGAATACACTGAAGCTATTATTTGTGGATTCAAAATCCCATGTATTATAGAGAAAAATACTCCTGGTCGGAGAATTAAATAGTTTTTCAAATATTTATGTTTTGAAAAATAAAGTAATTGACCAGTTGTATGAAAGTAGTTTAAACAATCTTCAATGTTATCAATAGACATTTCTTCAAAAAATGTCTTGTTTAAAACAAGCTGATTATTATTATTATTGTCGACATCAGGTGATGCAGAGGTGTCAATATTCTGCCTTGATTGTACATCGATTTGCACCATGAAAGATGATTTCAGTTTATCGTGAATGTAAGCACTTAAAGACAGCCATGACTTTGAAATGTGACTACTACTTTTGTTCACTGACTGACTGTTGAAGTTTATTCGATGTTCAATCTCATTCCATAGATCATCTATACTCGTGTAGACAAATGAAGGAGTTGGTTTATTTTTTAGCGGTTTAGCGATTTTCTCGCTTTTGGATTGTGACTTGGATGATAAGTTTAGAAACGAGACATTCTCGAGGACTGTGAGTGAGCAGTGCTCTGCCTCATGTTTGTAGAAAACAGGTGAATTAAGAAATTGGAAGCTGTCTGATAACTGAGTAATTTTATTGAGTACATACCATTGAAGTAGATGACTCAAATCATGCTTGTTATTTTGCCTTGTCTCATCAGACTGGTTGAATTGAATATTCGTGAGTAAATTTGTTGATTTCAACGGTTTCGATAAATTTTCTTGTTTAGCAATGAAACTGTCATCGCTAAGTGAAGCTGACAGAGTGGAATTCATAAAACGATCCGCATTATTATTATTATTTCTAATTATATCAGTTTCATCTAGACTTATTCCCACTAACTTGACAACAGATCCGGGTGCATACATTCGTAACATGCGTAAATATGACCAAATGCTGTTATCGAATAAACTTTCCTCCTCCTCCTCCATACTTGATGATTCTGACCCCATGTGTGCTTTACACAATAAATTAACATTGAAGACTAAAATAAAAAAGCCGTAGGCATCTAAAATATGCGGTAGAATTAATTCTAAACCAGAATTAGGCGAACACAATGATGCACAATGCACATGCTGTTCACTACATCCTGGAGGTAAATTGATTTCATAAAATACTATGCCATATCCATTCGGTGAAGTACAATGATTAATCAGTATCGGTGATGCTTGTAGTGGTAAGTTGACATAATTTGTAGTATTCAGCATGTTCTTCAGCCTGCAGCCTTCATCACTGTGATTTAATGAGATTTCGTTCAGTTGGGAAGTTGCATTTACTTGTTGATTTGAACCGCGTGAACATTCGTGGATGAGGTGTTTGATTAGTAGCGATTTTCCAGAGAATTTATCACCGATAACTATTATCTTGGTTGGTTCAGTATTTTCGGATAACTTTTTCAACGATTGATCCTAGGAGGTGAATGATAAGCACAGTAAAACACGGTTAGGCAGTAAAATGTGTGATTAGACGCCACCTATTTATTTTGACATTACTAAGTTTTGAAAGATATTCGGATACGTCGACCACTTTCTAGACTACTAAGGTACTTAATTGGTGTATGGTGACTAACCGTGGAATCCAGGATAACGCACATTCCGTCCTATTTGGGACTCGTCAGCTGGATGTACCTGGATTTCTCAGTGAGTGATGATGTTCCCGCCGAGACTCGAACCCAATGCCTTAGTTACTTAGTTACAGCACTAAGAATAACGTACATACTGATGTCAGAGATTCTGCTGGAAGAAATTTAGCCTCTACGAGGGACAAAGCCACTGGGACAGCTGAAACATGAGGAGTAAATTTTTATAAGATCATACGAATTTGGAAAATAACCAGGAAGTGTCATTTTTTTTATTCCTTCACGTTCTCAGTGGAACATACGTCTTCAAGCTAGAGGCTTGAAGTTTCTGTAGCAGTGTTTATTATTTTTACAGGATGGGGTTGCTAGCCTCATGCCCAACCTTTCCTCTTTACCAGCTTTATTGCCGGCTTAGCGAGGTAAAGGAATGCATCGGCCGGGGATCGAAACCCGGACCATGTGCATGGTCGGTGAGCGTCCTAACCGCTGTGCCACCGACGCACAAGAAGTGTCATAAAGCTTGTCGGTGTTCTTGAAGTGTTGCTTGATACTGTTATTCGCTCAATGTAATGAAATTAGGGTGGCGGCAGTAATTTCAAAAGTGAGACGCATATTATTGAATTTTCGTGAAATCATGCTGGAATATTTTGACCTATTTATTGAGACGCCTTAATGTCCACCGAATAAATGTGGCACCACTTCAAACAAGGCATATACCATACAATCGTCCAACAGGACCTACTATTATTATAGCGTCATGAGTTGAGGTGCGAAAATTTCATCCCTATTCCGGTTTTAAGTACAGTTTGTATAATGGGTTGATAGCTCGTTAGGATTCAGATAGGGGTTGGGATCAGGGTGTTTTATTTTCACCATCTGTATTTTCCTAGTAAACAGTTTTACAGTGTTCATAATTGTTATCTGTAGTTTTTCTAGCAAATCAACGGCATTTTTCTATGAAAAACACTGGTTATTTTGATTGGTCGCCTCAAGGTCAGTTGTGCGTTCTAATCGCTTGGAGTGCTATTCTTTAACTTCGCCAATAGATCGATCACATTCCAGGCAATCACACTTTCTACTAATAAAATCGAAAGTCAATAATAAAAAATAATGGATTACTAGACAAGGTGTATAATGAAAAATGTCCATGTAGATTGTTATTGTTATTTTTTTAAGCTTCGAGTGAGACATAGGGCTTCATGCTTGATCCTTGAATGTTTTGTAGTAGTGGTGTTTTTTCTATGGGATAGGGTTGCTAGTCTCATACCCAACCTTGCATCTTTACCGTTTTTACTACAGGCTAGGCAGCGATGTTTAGGAGTGCGTTCGTTCGTCGGGAGTCGAGCCATGGGATGCTCGCATTGCTGGAGGAGTGTTCTACCACTGAACCACCGATGCACAGCAGGTAAAGTTAAGGTATGCGTAGTCCGGGAGTCGAACCTGGACCACCTCCGTGTCTGGCGGGCATTCTACTTTTGAATCACTCATGCATTCTATTTCTTTATTTTTATTATTGATTATCACTGCCACCGTTCGAACCCAGGACCTTCAGGTGATAAGGCAAGGTCGTATACCATTCAGCCACTGGAATCCAATCTATTGGCCTATGAATTCCAACTTCTGTCAATTCGTGATTTTAGAGCTACCACTAGCCGACTTCATCGGCAACTATTCATCCTCACGCCCGAAGTAGTGGATCTCACTGGTCACGACATTTCATCCTGTAGCCAGTCACTAGCAGGCATCAGAGTTATTTTATACGAATCCTATTTGCTTCAAATCTGACTACAGATTGATACCAGTTACAGAACCATTGGAAAACCAGGGAGTATTGGTATTGTGATCTAAAGCGGTTAGCGATAAAGCCAATAAATGATGCAGTTTTAAAGTTGATCTGATGCTCTCTAGTGACTAGCTACAGAACACGACATCACCTAGGGTTCTAGTGAGAATTTGTGATAAGTGCAGTCTGCCAGGTCGGGAGTGGGAACAAATACCTGGCTGGTGGCCGAGTTCAAGGCATGAATTGGTAGAACTTAGAATTCATGGGCCACTGAGTTGTGTCCCACCCAGTGTCTGAATAGTATACGAACTTTCTTTGTAACCGGAAGGTCTTAGTTTCGAAACCTCGGTAGACGTGTGCTGATGAAGAGTTCAGAAGTAGGACGAAATAGCTGTCCAGTACTCTCTGCTGGTTTTCCGTTGGTTCTCCAACTGATGTCAGAGCATGATCAAACTTGAAACAAATCAGATCAACTCTTGGAAAATAATTTATTAATAATAAAGGAAATGATGTTCTAAATAATTGTGCGAAACGAGAAACGCAATGACAAGATAGCCTTTCTTCTAATTTATTCGAACCAACTGCAATTCACTATTGATTTTCAAAAGTATTATTATGCAAGATGAGTGAAGTTAGTTACTGCTTACCTCTAAATATTTCCACAAGTTTTTAGTATCTGTTGTTTTCCATACACTATGCGGCAGGAAATTTAAAGGATTCCCCTGAAGCCATAGACCGCATTTGTTTAATCCATCATATTGATGTGATGCTTGAAGATTTTTCAGTAGGTAGAACTTCTCTGGCAAACTATTCAACTGATTGAAGCTCAAATCTAGTGTTGTCAATTCTTTCAGTTGACAAATTGCATCCGGGAGTGAAGTGAGCTTATTCTCACTCAGGTAGAAATCTTTCAGACTAACCAGAGCGGAGATATCTTCAGGTATTTGGCTTATCTATAAGCATATGCATAATACAGGGCAAATTGATAAAATTCAATTAGCGTACTTATTATTGAATTATTGAAGACATGACTGTCAGTTCTAAAAGTAGTGATAATTCAATTACTTTAATGAAGTAAACTTGTGAAGAAGACGAAACAGGTCATTTAACAGCACGCTTACAATTAATGCCGCTGATAATGAAAACCTGAATGTGTGAGACGTCTACTTGTTGAAAAATTTCATACACACACACGTGTAGGAATTAAAAGGAAAGTTAAAGGGGACCTTAAAATCTTCATTGTCGTTTACCACATCTTTGTGGGATGACAATTTGCATCATTTCTCAATATTCCTCTTATTATGATTTCATTGTTTGAATAATTTTTTCATTTTGTAGGTATGGTTCATTCTGCTGGTCCAATCTTTCATCTGTCTTCATCTGAATAATACGGTGATAAAGTTGAATCAATCAATATATGGATCTATGTAGGCGGTTTATGCAGAAGCACATCTACTCTAACTGGAGAAATTCATGCAGCCAGGTGAGGGCTTATGGCGAGTTGTCATCTGAAGTGGTGACGACTAGTGGCGTCCGTCAAGGATGTCCATTATCCCCATTTCTATTCAACTTCATCAAAGACGTACTAATGGACTTAACCCTAACACACTTCAGAGACTCAGGGATTGACTTGCTGCCAGGGAATAACCTCGTCGACTTAGAATATGCGGACGATATAGTTCTTCTAGGCGAGGACGCTGACAAAATGCAGAGTCTACTGAACACCTTGAGCAACAATATTCGTATGTTTGGCATGCGATTCGCTCCTGTAAAATGTAAGATAATGCTGCAGGGTTGGACTTCACCGACCCCTAGATTAGAAATAGGAAGTGAAGTGGTAGAGCACTTTGACCGCTTCACTTACTTGGGAAGTACCATCAGCCCCAACGGGTTGATCTGTGACGAAATCTCAGCACGGATACAGAGGGCTAGTTTCGCGTATGCCAGTTTACGCCGTCTCTGGCGTAGACGTGATATCCGGCTGACTATCGACCAAAGGGCGTGTGTACTGCTCAACAGTCCTCTCCGTCCTCCTTTATGGCTGTGAGACCTGGCCATTGAGAGCAGAAGACATAAAAAGATTAGCTGTGTTCGATCATAGGTGTCTGCGTTATATCTCCTGTGTTACGTATGCCTAGTCATCGCCTTCCTCGACGGGCAATGTTAGCTGATATAGGGTCAGGCTGGAAAAGAGCTAGCAGCGGTCAAACCAAAACATGGCTTCACCAGTCAATGAAATCCACAACAGTTAGTCTAAGCCACGTAGGAAGGTGTAGACTAGCTTCTTGGTTGGGGTCTTCAGGACGGTTAAAACCAATGATTGGAAACAATTGGTGACATGGCTCAAAATCGTTCTCAGTGGCGTAGATGCATCCACTCTTTGTGACTTATGATTTCCAATTAAACTGTTTTGTTCTCCATTATTACTATTCCTTTGTCTCACACCTCTGTTTACTGTCTATATTATGCATTTCTCCTACTTTCTTCTCTTGTTTTGTGTGCTACATGGAGTGTGGCGACTTGAACTGCCGCACATATGTGCAAAGTTCTATGTCGAAAACCGACCGAATTCATAATTTAGCGGACTGATTGATGAAGAAAGAAAGTCGATCCACCAATTAAGTTCAAATTACACGTCCAGACATCGTCAAGGAATCTGCACAAGAAACCGAAGTGTCAGTCTTAGACCATGCTACCTCTATTTGTACCTATCAGTCCAGCTGCTCCTGTCGAACCTGTTATATTGACTGTTGCTCTAGGAATCTAACTTTTCGTGCTTGGGAACACATACCAGTGTGTGTCTAAATAAAGGTTTTATATTAGATCACCTCCCCTCTACACAATAGGCCACAAAGAGTCTTTCTCAGTTATCTATCGGGTATAGAACAAAACTACCGAATGCCCGTAGATATGGAGCAATGTAGACATAGGAGGCTATTGTGATTCGCTAAAATCAACTGGAGCTCCATGTGCGAAAGCGATAAGTCCAATCATAGTTGCTGACCTGCCCTTCTGTCGAACCTGTAAATTCATAAATTCTGTGTTATTACTTCCCTTAATTTATCTGATATTCAGTTTATTGTTGTTATATTGATGCATATTATCTCTCTCTCTCCAACTGATGTTTTTGAAATGTAATCACGTGTCAATGCTATAGATTCGTTGTAATTCGAAACAGCACGGTTGTTGTTGCTATTAATGACAACATTACCTTAATTATTACTGTCATATAAACGTAGAACTTGATGACGAATTTATCGAAAAGAATATTCTTTGTTCACTCAGCTCAGTCTTTTTCAATTTTCATTGCACATCTTCAGTCGATCACTGCACAATTATAAATATCCGAACGACTACTACACGGGAAAAATATTCGTCCGTATAAGAGTCAGGCTGGTGATCACTGACTGCACAGATGATTAATTACCGCGTTTTGTCTGATAATCCCTGACCGTTTAATGGAATAATCGTGTTTCGATCGTTGTCATTCGTTATGAAAGGAGATAGCTCTGCATATGTTCAAACTATTCTAGTCAGTGGGTGTTCTGAACCATTTTGCAATTATCTGCTTCAGATATTCAATGTCAGTATTGCATTACCGTGTTTGTATTATTTATTATTATTCCATTAGGTTTCAAGTGGAACATAGGGCCTCAACAGCACATTGCTAATTCACCCTGTTCTCTCTCTCTCTCTAGTCATCCTTAGCTGACACCACTATTGCACGTAGGCAATCATCTTCTCCGTATCACCATCATACCTACGCCCAAATAGTCGATTTCTATTTGAGTACCAATCGAGGTATTGCCTAGCACCTGACATCACTTAACGGCTCCCTCAGTGTGTCCCCGATTCATCTCCATTTTCTTGGAAACTTTCGCTCGCTAACAGGTTTTTGATTGGTTCGTACGCCTACCAGAGTTTCTTGTTTCTGGCTCTTTCAGACCGGCCAGCCTTCTAATCTTCGGTGTGGAGCCAGTGAAGGAGGTGGCTATTGATAAAAGTCTTCAGCAGACTGTTGGAAATGCTTTCCGTGGAGTGCGTGCCAATTTTCTGGAGTTGAAAATCAGAATTTCCTTATTTATGCTGAGCGAGTGGAGCAGATTTCCACACTGATTTCAGAGTGATGAAGGTGTGACTTGCTTTTTGGATTCTGGTTTTGATATCTTCACCCCCTTCTGAATACTTGTAGCTGAAAGGAAGTGACCTTTTCAATTTTCTTCTGTTAATACCAACTGAAGCCTGTTGGTTGGTTCTCTGCATCACATCCTCCTTCTCTGTGTTCACTGGAAATCTTGTCTTTGTAGCTTCTTCAGGCAACTTGTTGGTTTTCGCCTGGAAATCTTCAAATTTTTGTGACATTAGACACAAGAGTTACTGGAGTGAAAAGGATCGATGACCGGAAATTCATAATTTTTTGGCCTCTTTCCCTAGAAACTATGTATCATGCCCTTGAAATAGTACAGATTGAAATGCTGAACAGCATTTTACACATGAAGCTGTGTAAAACTGAGGTTTATACATAAAACTGGATAGCCTTTGCATATTCAACAATAAGATTATTTCATGCAATTCTTCCCATTAATAAACTTGAACAAAGCAAGAACAACAATTGTACCAGGATAATATGAGCTCATCTTTTATTATTTCGAGGATTCTTCTCAACTAGTTACAACCTGAACGATAAAAAATATGAATTACATTACATTAAAGATTTGAACATACTTTTCCACGATTACAGGGAGTAATTGGTAGGAAGCAAAAGTAACATTAATCCGGAATGATTTAACTAATTAAGAGTTACAAACACTGACTTTTCATAGAATAATTAGACAATTAGGCTTGGAAACAAAAAAAGAGTTGCGTATATATTATGTGTGTATAGAAACAAGGTTAAGATAGAAAGAGCATAACAAAAAAGTGGATTAAGTAACCAAAGAAAATGTTTTATCTAATAGCCAATAAAAAACAGAAGAACAAAGAAGGGTTAGTCATGTTTAGATGAGAGAGTAGAGTTTTCTAAACAAGAAAAAGGGTGACTCATAAAAGTTGTATATTTTGTTGTCACCAGGGCAGTGCAAGATTCACCACTGTCTCTTTCTGTGTACATAGATTTGGTTTAAGTCGTCTGGTAGCAATTGCTTTAGCAAAGCGTAGCAAGCTAGGTTTCTTTTGCTTGCTGATTATTTTGAATGACTTCAGGTTGTCTACATTATGACCAGTGTCTGATAGATGACGCGCAATCGCACTGTTTAATGCTTGCGAATCTTTCAGTCTCAGGTTCTTTGGTATGTGTTCAGAAATGAGGACAATGACCCTTCGCTCTGTTCTTCCAATGTATGTGCTTTGGCACGTACATGTAAATTTGTAGATACAGTTGGAGGTGACATGAGGTGGGTATTTGTCCACTTTTGATTGTCTCAAACAACTAGTTGTTTGATAAACACACACATGCTTGGTGGCTGGATATGTTCTTTTCAGGGCAGCGTTCAGTCTGCATCTTATTCTACTAGCAGTATCATCACCTTTCAATGCAAGCTGCAGAAAGATAGGCTTTTTCTATACTGTGCTGCTTTTCACTTTTTCAACATGACGTCTCTCATACTTGTCGATGAACTTTTATGGGTAACCGTTGTCGCGTAAGATTATTGTATGCGATAATCATCTACGCACTGGACCAAAACTTATTGTGGTTAATTTCTATAAAAGTGTTTAATTATAGACAGGCTTTAATTTTGCATGAATAAAGAAAGTAGATCCACGTGTCTCACTCACCTTATTATAACTCAGATCTAACAGTTTCAATTTAGTCATCCCACATAACACTCCATTTCCTATACTGGTCAAATTCATTGAAGATAATTTCAGCGTTTTTAGAACGATAAATTTAGAACCGAAATTGTTTGGCAGCACAACTGATCCATTCACTTCGTCTAACTGGTTGTATGATAAATCCAGGTATTCAAGTGTATTACCCAGTGTGAATAATCCACATGGAATTTCTCTGAAATAATTCTTTGATAAATGAAGTTCACAGATGCCCTTCATTTGTGCCAGATTCTCTGGGAGGAAATTTAACTGACAACGATCTAAGTGTAATACCTGTTAATTCGGTTAAGACAAACAGAGACAGTTAACATAAGGTCAAAGGAAAGATTATCGCATATGTAGATTTTACCCCTTTTTTATAAATCAGTTAGGTTACTGGACATCTGTTTCTTCAGCCCAGCTTGGGACTCTTCATCAGTAGGCACCTGCCGTCAGGGTTTCGACCCAGGGTCCCCCAGTTACAAGGCGAGATCGTGGACCATTCAGCCACTGGGACCCTATCTAATGGCCCATGAATTTCAACTTCTGCCAATTTACGACATAGAGCTACTACTACAAATACTCGCCATTAACATTGGCTAGTGGTCACGATATTTCGTCAGTTGGAAGAAGTAGGAATTCATGGGTCATTGGATCGGGTCCCACTGGCTTAATGGCCTACAAGCTCTCGTTGACACCGAATAATCCTGGGTTTGAACCCCAGGGGTGGGTGTGTACTGTGAGGAGTACTAAACTAGAGCAAAACAGCTTTCTAGTATTCCCAGGCTTTCTAGTAGTTCTCTATCAAATGTCTGCTCCTGATGGAATTCTGTTACCAGTCGAATCCCCCCGCAAACTAACACTTGAAAATCAAAGTTTAATTTTCAGCACTGTATTCAAGTGTTTTTAAATTTCGATCGATAATGTCTGAAATCGAAGGAAAATTCTAGACTATGGAAGATTTCAAACCAGTGGTCTCATGGATTGTGAGCCTACTACAGTTCGTGGCCACCAGTCAACACCACTTTTACAATGAGTGAGATGCTTTCGCCTGCCATCTGTAATTCAGAGGAGCTGGAGAACTAGTACCAGACTGATTTTCAAGTGGATCAGGTTTGTTCAGCACACTGTTTGCCATTGTGACAGCATGGTTACTAATATTACTGAAAAACTTGAATTCCAACAGCATTCAGACTGAGTTTGTCAGGTCATCGAAAGCATATCGATTTTCAGTGAGTTTTCAGTGTAGCTATTCTGTTAACTAGATGTTATACTAATCAGTAATTCCAAATCAAACGAATTCGAAACTTAACGAGTCATCTGTAAGGTAAATACCAATTCAGCGATAATTTAGAATGCTTTCCATACGAATACGATAACATACTGCAGCATGGTTTTACAAGGGAGAAAGGAAGATTGTGAGAAACTCTATTCTAGAACAATTGATCGACTTCTGTCACTCTACCGACCCTGACCATAATTTTAAGGCCATCTATTGAATCCATGCTAACTTGCCGCGTTTTCTTTGTTCTAACCTTTTATGAACAGTAGAAGCCTTGGCCATTGATGAATTAAAACCAGACCTTGGTGTACAAAAGAAGTCAGTACAGTCCCTGTTTCCACCTCAGACGTAGAGGGAGGGATTAAAACTTACCTTTTGATTCATTTTCATTTTGTTCATTTAGTTAATCAATGTACCTTCCCGTCATTACTACGATTATTATTGTTATTATTATTATTGTCACTATCATTTTTCTCACTCTGAACTGTTTCTAGTATTATTTTGCTTGTTCCACTTGTCATTTTAAATCGATGTTTGTTGCAGTGTTGAATTCTGTCTTATCAAATTTCATATGATGTTATGTGAAGTTTTTTATTTGCCTACTAATCGTATAATATTTCACCCCCTTCCAATATCTATACATCCTATGAATTATTCTATATATGAAATTATTCGTTTTACCACTTAACATTTATCATAATTACAAACTATTTAACTGTATTTTAGATTACTATTGATTTAAGTATTCACAACCTGGCTTCCAGGGTTGTACAGTGGCACAGTGGTTAGGACGCTTGCCGACCATGTACATGGTCCGGGGTTCGATCCCCAACCGCCGCACTCCTTTACCTCTCCAAACTAGTAATAAAAAGCCGGTAAAGAGGAAAGGTTGGGCATGAGGCTAGCAACCTCATCCTGTAAAAGTAAAACACTGCTACAGAAACTTCAAGCCTCTAGCTTGAAGCCCTACGTTCCACTGGGAACGTGAAGGAAAAAAAAACACCCTGGTTTAAATTTTCTCACAGAATATAATTTCTTAAAAAGCCATACATATACGATTGTACAGCTTGATAATAAATTCGTCGAAGCAAGTCTCTTCGCTGAATATTGTGTTTTTAATGTTACAATGGGAATTATTAAATTATTTCATTGACCAGTCAGGCTACCGGATACAAAATAAACTTAAGCAAGTTATACTACGTAGGCGTAAACTTTCATGCTGATGAACCTACCAGTTCTAAGTAGTGAAATACCTAAGAGTCAGTGACTAAATGGGTGTCTGTCTGCCGTGCACTTCGAATGTCACTCAAACTTGAAAACTTACAGATGAAAATCAACAAACTAGCTGAAGAAGCAGCGATGACAGGACTTCTGGTGAACACAGAGAAGACGGAGTTGATGAAGAAAACCAACCAACAGGGACAACAAACAGCACCGATTACTATCAAAGGGAGAAATTTGAAATTGGTTACTTACTTCACTTGTGGTGTCACCAATGATAAGCGTATCATTCACAAAACGTTTATACTTCGTAAAGTTTCCTAGCATACCTTCCATTTCTCTCTCAAATTTAGACGTAAATGAATCTGCTAATAGGGGTCCAAGAGGACTCTAAAGAGCGTAAGAACTATATTTGAAAGTGTTGTTGTGCAACGATTGTCAGAAAACCGTGTCCATCTAGCGACGTATTTTAGCCAAGCAATTATTATTATTGTTCCCTTGGGTTCCTAGTGGAACATAGGGCTTCAACTACACGTCCCCACTTGCTTCCGTCTTATGCTGTACTTTTCACATGCATCCATGTTAATCCATACTGTTTCAATTCCTCTTCACACGATCTCCTCCATGTCACCCTTGGACGTCCCACCCGCCGCTTCCCTTTCGAATTCCACTCGAGCGTTGGCCTGACGCGTGATGTCACCCAGTGGCCTCCTCAGCGAGTGTCCAATCCAACTCCACTTTCTCCTGCATATTTGATGAGCAATTGGTTCTTGTTTTGTTTGTTCCCATAGTTTCTTTTTGATGATTCTTTCCGGCCATCTGACCGTGAGTATGGAGCGAAGACAGCTGTTGATAAAGATTTGCAACAGGCTGTTGAAAATATTCTTTGTGACCCACCAAGTTTCTGATCCCTACGTATCGAAGAACTGACTGACTTGACGTTTGTATTGAAAATCCGAATCATTTTGTTGTTGATGCAGGCTGAATGAGGAATATTTCCAGATTGGTTTCAGGTTGATGAATGTGTTTCTCGCCTTCCCGATTCTCGATTTGACATCCTCGTCCGTTCCTCCTGTAGTTGAGACAATGCCCCCTAGATAAGTGAGTGAAGCAACCTCTTTCAAATCCCTCCCGTTGATGGTGATTGGCGCTGGATGTTGCTGCTGTTGTTGTTGTTGGTTGTTTATTTTCATAACCTCCGTCTTGTCTATGTTTACCTGGAGTGGTGCCTATGCTGCTTCTTCTACCAGTTTGTCGGTTTTCGCTTGTAAGTCTTCGATGAATCATTCGCGAAATCCAGGTCTTCTAGGTTCTTCTCGTTTCCAACTGTCTGACGCATAATCCAGTCCACCACAATTAGGAATATCATTGGTGATAATTAGCACCCTTGTCTGACTCTTCTGTTTACTCCAAACGTATCACTGAGTTTTCTGTTGCGGATCACTTGACATGGGCCGTTATCGTACAACTGTTGAATAAGGTTGATGAATATTTGTGGTACGCCGTAGTACTCGAATAGTTTTCAAATTACTTCGCGGTCAACGCTGTCGAAGGCCTTCTCAAAGTCTATGAAGTTGAGGTAGAGGTTTGATTGCCATTCCATGCTTTGTTCGATGATAATGCGTAGAGTTGCAATTTGGTCAGAACTTGATTTGCCTCTCCTGAATCCAGCTTGTTCTGGTCGGAATTCTGTATCCGGTGCGTCCTTTATTCTCTCCAGCATGATGCGACTCAGAATTTTACTTGGCGTCGACAGCAGCATGATTCCTCGCCAGTTCTTGCAGAGTCCCAGGTCGCCCTTCTTTGGTAGTTTCACGAGGTAACCTTTCCTCCAGTCAGTAGGCACCTTTCCCTCCTTCCAGACCTTTTGCAATAATGGAGTCAGCATACCTGCTGTCGTCTATGGGTTCGCTTTCAGTGCTTCAGGCGGTATTCCATCTGGTCCAGCTAGAATTTTTAATATATTTGTGCGCTGAAGTTTCTGCAGCAATTTGGTTAAGTTTTGGGGGTGGTGTTGCTAGCATCAAGCCCCAACCCTCCCTCTTTATCTGGGCTTGGGACCGGTTAGAAAACTAGTCAGCTAGTAATTTAGGTGAGGTTCCAAGCAATCCAAGCTAAGCAATTCATGAGTTATATTAACTTTCTTGGATATAACTACTATCGGTAGATTGTAGTGGTTACATTGTCAGTTTGACAAAATTGGACATGTGGAATCGCATTTAATTGGTTAGATGATGTATTCTCTTCGTCAAGATGAAGGTATTTTTAAAAGTGGCAATTATTTTTAGAAAAAAAGTAAATGACTTAACAACCAACCTGTAGTCTGCGTAGTTTAAATATAACTGAAGGTATGTGATAAGATTTCATTTGACCTGAACGAAGCAGTGAATCAATACGCTCAGCAATCGAGGTGGAACTTTCCTCGATAGATTTTCTTGGATTATCCACTTCAGATATCGTGGTGCTGTTGGTGGTGGTGGTGTTAAGTGTGGCTTCATCAGTGAATTCTGTAAAGCTGACCATTTTAATTTTTGAAGATTTTCTTGGTTTAATCAAACCTTTCACAAAGTGGCGATAATCCAGATGTAGCGCTTTCAATTTATGAAGTCTAGAAAATTCGTCTGGAAGTGATGTGATCTCATTTCCATATGCGTTAATTGTATGCAGTTTAGAACAGTTAATAATCTGTATTGGAAAGGTGTTCAGTCCCATGCGTTTTATCAGTAAATAACGCAGTTCCACTAGGTTTCCAATCTACGTTAGGAAAGAAAGAATGAAGACTAAAAAGAGAATTATTTTCTAACTGTTTAGACTTTTCTTAACTAGTTTAGAGTAGTGTGACAGTGATAAAAAGAATTATTTCTTGTCCATAAGTTTTCATCTGTTCCTCACACGATCTCTTCCATGTTACCCTCAGATACCCAAACTGTCACTTCTCATTCAGTCCTATCTGAGGATCTGGAGTACGATGGCAGTCAGTGGTCTCTCATCAGCATATTTGTCGAGTAATAAGATCCTGGTTGCTACATATCATCTCTTACGGATCATCTCATTTACAGTATGGAAGAGAAACAGCTGTTGATAAAAGTTTGAAGCCTGTGACACACGAAGTCCCTGAACCAGTTAGAAGCACTGACTGTCTAGATATTAGTGTTGAGAAGCCTAATTTTGTTCTCTTTGCTTAGTACAGTAGATTTCCAGACTGATTTCAAATAAAAGTGAAGGTCGGTGTCGCCTTTCCAATCCTGACTTTGATGCGTAAAGTTACAAATTATAGGAGTCAAGATCATCTTGTCTTTCAGTAAACACCCAACCATTTAGCTATTGGAATGTAGATATGTCCCAATGAATTTAACTAGTAATATGAAACAACCTACATTTAATAATAATAATTTGCTTTATTCCAAAACAGTACATGTGATACAGAATGGAATTCTCAGCATTTTTACTACAGTATTGCATCCAGTTAGTACATTATCAATAAATAGAATTCTACATAGTTTAAGGAAACCACAGTTCATTATTACAACAACACATTGGCATGTCGGTAGCAAACGTAAAGCTGAACAGTGTTTGAAGGTGTTAGAAAAGTGGGAGCTGTCTTATTAACTGGCGTAAACGAGAGAAAGAAACAAAGCAGCACAAAACGGAAAAAAAAGAGAGAGAGAAGAGGAAAGGAAAGAACGAAAATGTTGTACCTATTGATGATGTGAGTTGGAAAGACAAGATCCACTTGTACTACTGACTATTTAATGAATTATAGGTGTCACGCCTAATGCTTTATTTATCGCACAGAACACGAGCTAAGTAGGGTATGGTTGAGTTTTTGTACTTGCTGGTGCGAGCATAAAGTTTTCTATATTGGCTTCTGGTTTTACCTGATGAGATACAAGGGGAGAGTTGTGAGTGAAGAGGGTGGTGTGAGTTAGATAAAATGGACTTGGCCCATTTCTCACAGGAGTCCATGTGCCTGTCGACCAGAATATTAACAAGCTGGTTAAGTGGCACGTTGCTTACCCTGCTGACTACCTTTAACATCCTGCGTAATATGTCATAGTCTTTCTTCAGTAGCCCGGGAAAAAATAAGGGGGAACAATAGAGAATAATAGGCAGGATGCAAGAGTTAACGAATCGTAAGAGTAAGGGTTGGGTTATTCCAGAATGTTTTAACTTCTTGATGTAGAAGGTAAGACGGAATATTTTCTTAGAAATCATCAAGATATGAGACGACCAGGAGAGATCAGCAGATAGAATGACACCTAGGTATTTAATTTCCGATTTGCTTTCTATTTCAGTGCCGTCTATGTTGCATACCTCGTGAGAGCCAACCAGTTTGTTTAGGTCGGATTTATGCCTCAAGGTGAAATTGACTGTTTGGCATTTGGAGGGGTTTAGGGTAAGACCGTTTTCCTTGGACCACTGTCTGATTTCTGACAGAAAGCCATTAAGTTTAGAGCAGTCGCTTTGACATTTGACAGGCAAAGATACAGACAGATCGTCAGCATATTTGACAAAATTAATGTCATTTGAATATGGTAAGTCATGTAGAAAGAAAGAAAAGAGAAGTGAGGAGAGTACAGCGCCTTGGGGGACTCCGGCTTCAGTGAGTACAGCAGAGGATGATTTACCTTTGTATACGGTGTACTGCATTCTGTTAGAGAAGTAGGAATGCAGCCAGTTAGTGACCCAGGACTCGGTTTTTGTCAAAGAGAGCTTATTTAGCAGGAGACATCTAGGAACAGAGTCGAAAGCAGAAGTGAAGTCAAGAAACGTGCAGCGGACGTATTTGGCACCTTTATCTAATGATGAGACGATGTTGTTGTGTAAGACAGCTGCAGCATCTAAAGTGCTCCTACCCTGTCTATAGGCAAATTGTTTGGGGTCTTCAAAGTTTTTAAGGGAGGGTTCAAGTTTAAGAAGTATTAGTTTTTCCACAAGCTTTAGAAACGGGGAAGTGATGGCAATGGGTCTGAACTTTACGTTCTTGCCGTTTCCAGGTTTAGGGACAGGGACAATTTTGATGTCTTTCCATGCATCAGGTACGATATTTTTGGAGAAAGAAGCATTTAGGATGTTGGTTAGTGGAGAACACAACGCATCTGCACATTGTTTTAGAACATATGCAGGTATACGAATGTTAATAAATCAGAATTTAATGAATTCATCAAATTTCTGTACGACTCTTCATTTGGACACTCAATACACTGTGATATATATATATATATATATATTACGGAAAATACATGGGAAGATAGGTGACTAGTGAATAGCCTACAGGGAATCCATCATGCGAAACAAACTTGACCTGTAAAACTCTTACACCTGTCGTTTTGCATGACTGATTAACTGGAGTTCATCAACTAATCAATATATATATATATATGCTCCAATGTATTTTTCATAGTATATAGGCATATATACACACATACATACATATAATAAAGTGAAGAGTTCAACCGAAATTTGATGAATTCATTAAATCCTGCTTTTTTTATTAAAATGTCTTCATAACGAGAAATAAATGTTTCCAGCCAGATACGCTTAATATTTGAAAGTGATAAAAATCACCTTTCAGTACTTTACAGATTTGACAAAAGAACATTGTTACTTAATTAAATTGAAAATGCGATTTGTGCCTACAGAAATGTTATTCATATTTTTTTCGCATAAAGCAAGAACAACATTTTGTACAGAGTAGGATGGTTATAACATCTATTTCATTGGCTTCACATCAGCTGCGCGCAGCCTAAAGGGTCAGGAGAATATATACTACAGAAAAATTAGAGGAGAAGGTGCTGAAAAGCAAAGTTTGCTCTCAGAAATTCATTAACAAGTTTGGAAGATGTGAAGACACAAATGCTAAACAGGTCACATTGAAAAAGAAGCCTATCTTCGTTCAACTCTATTTTAAATGGGATAATGTTGAAATAAAGATTGGATACCTCACTCACCGGAACCTATCCTGCAGTTGAGTTGGTTCCCGTTTTACCGGACGAAATGTTCTTTGGTGTAATCAAAAGTCGACAGACACTCTCCTCATGCTTACTGTAACTGTGTATACAAATTTACATGTATCAGTGGTAGCAGTTACATTGGGAGAACAGAAAGGAGGTCACACCTCCGATTTTATGAACATGTACCAACAAGCCTACGTCTCAAAGGAACAAACGTTTACAATACTGCCATTACCAGACATCTCATCAATACGGGTGGACATGAGGTGGACATCACGAAATCCTTTAAAATTGTGAATAGATAAAGTAGTTCAGTTCTGTGATAATTTTCTTGTTTAATTATCGCCTCCTTGACATGCTGACACTCACTAATTATTGTTAACAAACATATCACCACTAGATTGGTAAAATGTTTAGTATTGTATTAAAAATGCTACATATGTACTACAGTAGAGCCAGAGATGAGGATCTAATTGAAAAGTAAATATTTCTTCGCTCAATCAGTTTGCAAGTATGTTAAAACTTAATAATTTCTTTAGGCTGTAGGCAGATGATGAGACTTTGACGAAACAAATGATGATACCGTCTGCAAATAATGTTTGAAGTTCCCATTTTTGTCAGTACTTAACGATAATAGACTATACTTATTACCATAAATTTATAAGACACAAGAAAACTTGAGCAAAGAATATCCTTTTCAGTAAATTTAATATTCCCATTATTTATTCAGAACAAAATATTTAGAGCGAACAATTGTTTTCAATAAATTCTTCTTTCTTCAGGCTCTACAATTATAAATCCATTAATTTAAGCATACAATAGCAGCCAGTAAAGGCAAATGAGAATCATATCAGAGAGTGTATTGTGGAACAAGTATAAGACATTCTAAAATGTCAACTTAATAGAGCAGTAGATAGAACATTTCCTCCAGCCAAAGTGGTACTCAACTTCTCAACTAAACCAGTACTCACACAGCAAGTCAAGGATGAATTACCAAAGATGGCCTCATCAATGTGTATCTATGAATTCAACTGCTCATGTGGAGCTAGTTACATTGGCCATACTCAGAAGTCTTTATCCATGCGCGTGCGTGAACATGTACCTGTATGGTTGAATAAAGGAGTAACCAAATGCATAAATAGTGTAGTCTTAGCCCACTTGGTAGATACTGGACACCCGATAAAACTTGACCAGGCGTTCTCAGTTATTTACCACGTTCCTAGTAATTTATCTAGAGGAGCTCGACTACATCTTCTATCAGTAGCTGAAGCGTTGGCAATTAATACCAGAAGACCATCTCTTCGCATACAGAAGAAGTGTGTTCAACCTCTATGTTTACCTTGGCCTACAATAAAGCCAACAAATCCTCCGTAAACATTAACACTATAAATTCTTTTCACAATTTTCTTTTCTTTCCTTCTCCTTCTATTCCTCTGTTTCATTGACAAACGTTCATTTTCAACTTTTATGATTTCATGACCTTTCTTATGATTTTATTACCTTAGGTTTAAGTAGTGCTTTTCTAACTTGCTATCGTATTTACAAAATCCTGTTTATTCCACTTCATTATATTCATTATTATTATAATTATTTGACAATTATTCACCAATAGTGCTTGTATTTTTACACCATATCATCGTTATTATTTTACAATCATTCTTATTGTCGTTATTTTCAACCTTGAACTATATTTATGTATATACACACACATCATAAAATTATATTACTTCATTTGATTTTGTCCCATGTTCTCATTGACCATGCATATTAAAAAACTATCTGACTACTGTTCCATACCACCCCATCTTATACTTGTTCCACAATACACTTTCTGATATGATTCTTATTTGCCTTTACTGGCTATTTTATGCTTAAATTAATGGATTTATAATTGTAGAGCCTGAAGAAAGAAGAATTTATTGAAAACAATTGTTCGCTCTAAATATTTTGTTCTGAATATCCTTTTCGACAATTTCCTCTTCTGGCTCTACAACTATATGTATATATTTATTTACACAGAATATTCTAAAATAATCGTCATTAAAAATTTGGTGTTTTTTAAATACTATCGGTTTGTTAAGCGCTCAGTAGAATTACAGTTCAAGAAAAAAGCTTAAGTTATAATAAGTGTAAAAATGTAATAGTGAATAGAATATCATATAAAATTAAGGAAATTTCCTTAACAAACTGAGGATCGTTAAAACCTTTATGTCCAGGGTAAGGACAGTGTCTGAACCAAATACTTCTTAATGTAGGTCCCAACAACCTCAACCATGTATAGTAGACGAACTCTTAAGGTAAAATTAAGATTAGTCAGTATGCGGTAGATGACTGTGAAAGCTTTGTTAACGTCAGTCTTGTTTTCTGTATCCATGAAGTGAGGTAGAATAGAGCTACGAATGGATTTTGTTTGTCCCTTTCCTAACCACGTAAGATGGTGTTCGAATGAATATTTTCGCCATAAATGTAACAATTTCAGTACAACTAGGCGGGAAAAGTTACAGAGAATTAAAGCTCAGCCTACAATACAAATGGTACAGAGAGTATGAATTACTCAGAAGGATTGAACGTCCACCTCGTCATATGATGACGGCATCTGTGCACGACTTTAAACACGGCACAAAAATGAAAACACCTTATCAAACATTCAGGTTAAGACAGATTATAATAAGTGCCTATTTTTCTCGCCTCAATGGTTAACATACCATAGCAGGAAGTTCAGTTGTCCAATTGTCACTTAAATCCAGTTTCGTTAAACTTGTTAGCTGAAAAATAATCTTTGGAATAACTTTTAATTCACAGGAAGACATTTTTAAAGTTTTTAAATTAACAAGACGATTCATATCTTTTGGGAATTGTGTACTTTCTGTTTTATCATCAATATTATTATTAATATTATTACTGTTGTTAAGTGATTGTACATGTGATTTCCTTGCAGAGCTGGTGGATTTACCACCACCACCACCACCACTGAGTTGTACTTTATCCCCTCCACTTTTCATTTGAAAGACACCAGTGGAACTCATTCCCGGCACTTGTGAATAACCTCGAAGATTGTTATGACTTATGTCCAGATAACGCAGATTGATCATGACACAGATTTCAGATGGTAAAAAGCTTAGGCTGTTATTGGATAAATTTAACTTGGTGATTGTAGTTCCTAAACAATAGAGAGAGAACAAAAATACTTCAGGTTAGTCTGTAGAAAAGTAAACTGGGAAGAATCTAAATTATTCGTCAGATAATCAAAGACGGCCTGTATGAAACCTGGGCAACCGAAATACTCCATTATTGTATTGCAGATAATTTCGCTTGATCACCTTAGCTATCAATGCCTTTCTCAGTGTAAGAAAGTTTTTCTGAGGTATGCCAGGAAGAGCAATAAAGAAGAATAAGTAGGTTAACAAACTGTAAGTATAGAGAAATGGAGTGATACCTTAAGTCAGTCTGCACCAAACAAAGGACTAGACACATCACACTAGTTGCTAGTGCCCAGTCAGAACGGTGCATTCATCAGAATTTCTTATAATTTCATAGTGCTATTTTTACTATTGATGGAGCTTCTCGGAGATGGAAAATTTTGACATTATGTCATAAATGGATTACGAAGATGCTTTCCTTTTCTCAAGGATATTGCTGTTATAACCTGTGCAGTTGTACATATATTAACAAAAATTAGGTTCGAATCCCAGTGGGTGCGTACTGCCGATGATTCCCAAACTAGGATGAAACAGCAGCTGTCCAGTACTCCCTGGTTTTCAATGGTTCTCTAACTGATATCAGTCCGTGATCAACTCGTAAAAATTAGGTGGCAGGAATTTTCGTTACTGAGTTTGTCCATCCAAAAGGCTGATTACTGAACAAAGAATATTCTTTTCAATAACCTCTTCTTCATCAGGTTCTACATTAATATCACCATATTACTTAATGGTGTGAAACATTCCCATATCATGAATTAAAAGTCAATCTGAATGAACGAACAATATTCTTTTCAATAAGTTCTCCTATTCAGGTTCCTACAACTAAAAAATATAATATTTGTTGTCTCTACAATAATGATAACCAGTTAGCGGTGAATACATTTTTAACGTAGAATAACAAACAGATTAGCAGTTATGGGGTGTCAAAATAAATAGTCGTATTTCTGTAACAAACGTCGTGTTAGGCTGAAATCGATAACAAAATATTTCGGTGAAATGGGAGATAATGGTGGTGATTAGTCGTCATAATGCATTTGTAGAGTGTGGGGTAGGAAAAAATGACAAGTCAGTTCAAGGTTATTAAAGGGGTGTCAGGTGAGTGAGTGGCTAGTACAAAGTTGTATGTATTAAAGAGAAGGAGATAGTAAGACTGTAGTGAGAGGTTGATAATGAAATAACGAATATGTGAAATGAAACATATTGAGAAAAGAAATAATATCACTAATAATAAGTCCGGATAGTATAAATGGAAAATTCGATAGTATTGAGAGAATGTTTGCATGAAGGGCATAAATTATGAATATTGATAATGATAATAATAATTGTAATAACAAGTAAAGAAAGAAAAAAAGTCAAGAGGGTTAAGGGGAAGAAACACTCTTGGTGAGAACTTATTGAAAAGAATACTATTCTTTCAGATAGACTTTTAATCACTATAATAATAATTGAAATGTTTTTCCAAGTATTGGTTTTTGTAGGGATTTTGCTTGATTGGTCGGAGGACTACATCATGAGCTGACATAAGTTAGAGAACCATTTTAAAACCTGCAGGGAGTATTGGACAGCTGTTTCCTCCATCCTAGTTTGGGACACTTCATCAGTACGCACCCACTGAGGCTCAAACCAAGGACCTTCTCGTTACGAAAACTCTCTCACATGCATACATACGTACACAAATACATGGCTGTGGAACATACAATACAACATACTAACAACAGAGGAGAAATTCCATGTCGCCTACACACCGTACCCGTCAAGTCCCAACAATGAACAGAGTTCAAACCTAGTACGGAGGAAAAAGCTGTCCAGTACTCCCAGTTGGTTTTCCAATGGTTCTCTAATTGACGTCAGCTCATGATGAAATCCTCCAACCACTTAAAGAAATGTTGTTGTTAAGAGTACCAGCAGGTTACAATTCGAAAGCATCAATAATTTAGAGATAATATGGATCAATATAACACCAAACTGATTATCAGATAAATTAAGGGAAGCGAGACAGTGTTCATGAATTTATTGGCTGGACAGAGAGCCAGGGTAATGGTCGTGGTTAGACATCCCTTTCTTTTGCACACACTTAGATTCAGTCGATTCAATTTAACTGCAGTGTTCGGTGTCCAGAGGTCCTTGATAATATATTCTATGCCAAATAGGTGATAGAGGAATACTCCTCAATCCTTATTGGCCTTGTGGCTTGTTTGGCTAAGGTAATCTAACAGAGAAGTGTAGATGGTTTTAACAAGGACATGAACTTAGTTTCCTAGAGCAGCGGCTAATATAACTGGTGATTGGCCTAGCTACTTCATCTTTCCCCTTCGTCATGACAACCAGTTGTGCTGAAAATATGAGCTGCTGCTTACCAGCATTAAATATTCTCTGAACCGACTTTCTGAACTTGTTGTTGGTGATGACGAGTTTCAGTTGATGTGACAAAAATATAATACAAAGCGTAGAGCCAGAATAATGCTAAGAATAAGACTGTAAATAAATTTGAATTCAAATTCGATTTGTCCATTTGTAGACTGAACTGAAATGTTCGGCCCTCGTTGACATATAAACTCCTAGTACAGACGCTTCAAAGATGTCAACGTGAAAATCATAATTGAATTCTAGATAATATAACTGACGCCCGTTGCACAAGAGGTGACTCTTCGGGACCAAGTGGTTCAGTGGATAACGCTTTGGCGTCTGAAACGATGGGTGCTGGGTTCAAACCTCAGTGGAAACACTATCACCTGTGGGTGCATCCACATGACGAGTCCCAAACAGGACGAAATACATATCCTGGATATCGCTGCTAGTCACTATCCACCGAAGCAGTGAACCAAAAGTATAAGAAAGTATTTTGTGAAGTTTTTCTCATTTTTTTGGGTTAGAAATCTAATCATTCTTCATAAAACATACGGTTAAATAATGAAGTGATGGATCCATGAACTGATCATTTACCGAGTAATGATGACTTCCACACACTAGCTGTGTTCACCATCTTGACAAATGAATGTTGAGGGTTTTCAGTATCATTCCAGTATCATGGAATCAGATGGGCAGGTTTTTCAAATGATTCGTGTTTACATCTTTTTTCTTTTATCCTACATGTTAGAATCAAGGAATTTTTTAAATGGAAATTTATTTTCTTCTACTACTTTTTAATGTATGAAATTTTGCTCATTTTTTCCTTTTTATTTTTTACACTTTTTGATTTCCCATCTGATTGATTTTGTTCCCACAACTACATAGTGTTATATTAGTTTCTTCCCCCCCTCCACTCCCATACATTCAAATCTACTTCCCCGTTTTCATGCATTCCTTTTATTTCAATGGGAACAAATCCACTCGTGTAAGAAAACGGGACTTTAAAAGGCGACACCACAGAGTAGAGAAGTTTTCACTGTGTCTTTAATTCCACTTTGCTTAATGACGATTTACGCACACCCTCACATACAGAAAACAGAAAGAGAGAGACAAAAAGCACTCCCCAATTACTATTTCCTTTAAAAATGTTACATTTAGATTAATTACATCAAATTGAGAATATAAGTTGTGTTATGACATGGTAAGCATGCAATTCTACGATTACGAAATAAAAAAAAATAGTGGCGCATTAAACATTCTTAAAAGAAAAAAAGTGTGTAGCCTAGCAACAACTGATGAGATTAAATTCATTTTGTTACCTGGGGTTAAATTAAACACTATTAAGGAAAAGAGATAATTGACTACTAGTTAGGCATTAGCGACAGACATTGTGAAAATGCTGTTAACTGATACGGCAGGTAGATATTTCTCTGAAAGTACTGCCCCCTTTTTGAAAACTTACTTAATTGGGGACAATGAGTTGAATTCATTTTGAAGCAAAGGAAAGGAATTTTTGTCTTGCATTGCCGTAATATCCTACAACTACTTTTTACCGTCTTCAGATATTCACAAAGTTAATTTTCAATGAATGTTAAATAAATTGTCAGTGGAAATATAGAAAAATATTGGAGAAAAGACTTGACTGTCCATTTTAAATCTGCTGCTTTTCCCGTTTATATTTACCGCGGCTAGTTTATTAGACGGTTGTAATCCCGGAAAGAAAGAGGGAACGTTAAGCGGAATTCTTCTGCTGGAATCGAAGAGAAGAAATGATGCAGGCTGGCGAAATTGCCAGAGAGATGAGAAGATACGGTGTAGAAGTGCAAGTGTGGCAACTGCTACTACTGACGACATTTATAAGTAGTAGTGGCAAATGCAGAGACATTCATCGACACAAAAATATCAAATAGCGGAGAGATAAATTCGACGTCAATCAGAGGAAATGAACCAGTATTGCTGCAAAACATGGTAGACGCGAAAATAAGACGAGGAAAAACATTACGAATGGCAGAAGTAGCATAGCAAGGAAGATCTGTGCAAATGACGATTTTAATATGAGGTACACACAATTTCCCTGTGTGTGTATGTCAAATAGCTGGCTGAGATGACGTCAGTAAATCTCTTGTCTTCGCCAGTTACACAATAAATCTGTGAGAGCAGATGGAGTGGAAGTCGACTCTCCAAATCGCTAACTGGAGAGATAACAACGTAGTGCAGTCAACCGCCAGCAGGCTACAGGCATCAAATGGACGAACAAGTTTGTGTAGACCAAGTTTATTCTGGAAGGTCAAGTTAACCATCTGACAATTGGGAGGATTAATGTAAGAATATTTGGCTTATGCCACTGGCTTATAGCACCCCCCTCCAAAAAAAGTAACAAGGCATCAAGAAGCGCTTCACTTATTTGCAAAGATATTTTTTTAAACCTTTTAGAAAAAGGTGTTTTTCAATTTGGACACATTTGAATTACTTCTTCTGTAACGGTCCAGTGATTGCTTCATGCAGTGGGTATCTCTAACTTTTTATCTAATCCTTATTTGTATTTGTGCTTCATCTGTACTCTCTATCCCATAACACTCACTGCCACTTATTAATTTGTAACAAAAAATAA